GCAGCAGCAGGCCGCCGCATACCTCGGCCGCGCCCTCGTCCTTTAGGCGATGCCTTGGCTGTTGCCTTTGCTTTGGGCTGAACCGGCACGGCTGCAGGCGCAGCTGGGGCGGCAGCAACGTGCTGTCCTGGAGGAGCTCCTTTTTCCAACACAGCATGGCCCTGCGGCGCTCCTTGGACAGCAGAGGATTCATCGATTCGACGAGGCTGCAGCTGCCCAGCATCTTTCAATACCTTCAGACCCAAGGGCTGTGTGAAAACAAAGGCAAATGACAGTTGGTCATCCAAATCAACGTCAGGCCCAGGCTTCGCAGCCGTATCCATGCCTGCAAACACGAACTGAATGTCCGGGCACTTCCATGACAGAGATTTCTTTGCCTTGTTGTTTTCGACCTTAGCTCTTGTGAGAGTCTTTATCGGAAAAAGTCTTGCTTTGAGCAAACATTAGGTTTCAAAATCGTCAAATCCAAATTCATTATCCAGCAGACCTATAACAGTAAACAACTCGGGATGGAACATCTATTATATGGGGAAGCAAACATTTAATATCGGAAACAATTATATCATAGGGGGAAACCAAAAAAAACAAACCTAAATATTTTTTCGAACCTTAACAGGGAAACAACAAATAATATGGCCTCCCGTGCTTTCTTAGGGAAGGTCGCTTGTGCCCCACTAGACGCATTAGCCCATCGCTCTAGTGTCATGCGTTGCCCTCCGTCAACGCGTTGGCCCCAAGGCAAACCAACACTGCAAGTTTCAATCTAGAAACTGTCTTACCACAGTGTTGGCGCGACTCTCTTCCCTAAGAGCCCCACTCCTGGCCACCGGAGTGACTCACCTTTTAACCCAGGAGGGAAGGTGAGTTTCGGTAGGGCGAAAGCAAAAACAAAAACAGTGAGTTCTTAAATGTCACGTCCAGAATCCAAGGTCTGCAAATATTCACATGCACACTGGTAGCCCCATTCCTTCATCAGCGCTGCGGTCTTGAGAAATTCTTGGCTTTGCCGGATGGAGAATGGCACCCTTGGAACGGGGTCACTTTGAGGCCTCGGTGGCAACTTCTGGACATGAACATCAACGGGCTTTGGCTCAAGGATCGGCTTGCCATGTACAGCTTTGGAAGAAGAATGACATCTCTGCCATGCGGATCCAAATGCTTCAGCCAGTCTGGCGTTTCAATTTGTTCCTGCCAATCCTTCGGCAACATGTCTCGGCGAACCAGCTTCCAGCAATGAATGGCTTCCATGTTGTTCTTGGTGGCTGCAGCGGTTTGATTGAGGCCACTCATTTTCGCACCCAGAGGATGCAGCCACGCTCGAAAGTTTTCTGCCCCATGCAAGAGCTCAACGTGGTAACCAGGCAAGGTCTGCAGAATCTGGTGCCGAAAGGATTCAGGATCCTCCAAGACTTTGGCTCTATTCAAGGAAACAGCCACCTGCGAAAAGGCAGCATCTTGCCGGTTATGCGTGTGGCCAACCCGGCCCTGAGCCATGGTCACAGAGTTGACATGCCCCAAAGCAACTTGCACTGCCATGAACTTGACCAGGGTGTTGTTCTTGGATTCGGAGCTGGCGTTGTCACTGACGCATCTCCAGTGCGCCGGCATCGACAATCCACGTTCACGAAGGCGCTCACTCACAACCTGATCTGCATGGCTCAAGGATCTGAAGAATGTTTATATATTAATATATAATATGTATTAACTAGGAAGGCGGAAGAAATGCACAGTCACAAATTATTGCGCCACATTAAACAAAAACGGAATGTTAGAATTTAAAGCAAGCAGCTTCCAAGGCTCTGGCCGTGACCGTGGTTTGAACATCTCCACCCTTACCAACATCCATATCTGCAAGAAACAAGAACTTGCCAACGCCATCGACTGTCACGCCATGGCATGATATCTGAGGTCGCCAGCTGTCCTGCAGCGTCTTGGCCATTTCAAAGTTCCTCGGAACTTTGAACTTCGCCTGATCCATTCCGTCCTGTGTCCAATTCAGCAGGCTCCTTTCATACACATAGCCCTTGGCGCCGGGGACCGTGGAGTTCCAACCCATCTGTTCTGCGATGGTATCGGCTTGTCGATCGTCCATGACACTCGCAACATGCTGGCTGTGTGCCTCGGAGATTTGTTTTGCCTGGGTCTCACAGACAGCCTTGCTTCTCATCATCTTCAACTTCTCGCATGTCGTGCATTTCCCATGGTGTTGGGAATCAGCTATCTTGAGCTTGGTCTTCCACTCAGACTCATCATAGTAGCGCTTGAAGCTGGTGCGATGGCAGGGCTTCTCACTCCAATTTGCATACATCTCATAGAATTCCTGCCAAGACATATGCGGCAAGTAGCGCTTGCCATCCACTGTCAAAGCGGAATCTGGACCAAGGTCTTCTGCCTTCACATCATCGAGGCGCAAAGTCTTCTGACTGTCCTCCTCGCAATCCTCCAGCTCTTCCTCAACACAAATTTGCACAGCACGAGGAGTCTCCGAATCTGCTCCGAGCTCAGTGGGGATGTGCATGGCGTAGTTGGACCAGGCGTGGTAGAAAAACTTGGAGACATCTTGCTGCTCGGGTGTCATCTTTGTCAGGTTGGCGTGGCAATGGAGCCCACGTTTCCTGGCATCAGGCGGAGGACCATCAAGGTGAACAGTTTTGAGGAACTGCTTCACTGTGGTATGCCCCACGCAGCAAGCCTTCTGAAAGATCCTCCGGCACACAGGTGTGTCCATCAGCTGGTACCCGCGCTCCACCTTCTTGTAGACACGCAGCTCACGCAACATGAGCCAAACCCTTTTCCGGTGCAGCTCCCGGTCAAGCTTTCGCGTGTGACTTTGCAAAAGTTCAGCAAATCACTGCCGGCTTGACGCACGCAGTCTTGCAACTGCAAATCCAAGACGTTTCTACCTCAGCATCACTCCCAGAGTCGTCTTGGGAGGGTAGACTAACCACAGATTCACCCTCACTGGGGAGGTCAATGTCCATGGCATTGGCGCGCCGCAAAGCCATCCTTGTGATGCTTGACTTTTTTGAAACCAGACCGCTGCGAAAATGGATCTTGGTTTTATGTCTTCTGGTCTTGACCAAACAAATGACTTTGACAGTAACCGTCAGACTGAAAATTAGTCATGCTTCGGCTGTCATGAGGAGCTTGAAGCTTCCTGCAAGTAAATCAGACAGGACTGAGGAGCATACAGCTTCCTGCAAATACAGTAAGTAGAAGAGCCTCCGAGAGGCTTCCTGCAACATGAGACATCATTGATACAGCCATGCATTTGAAACCTATCTAAGGACCAGGATGTTGTGAATTTCCTTCAATCAGGAGGATGATCCAAAAAGATGTCAAACAGTATCCAAATGAACATCATCAACGGATCGCCTTTTTTCATAATTATGCCGGAAGTGGTCGTTGCTTCTTATTCATTGCAATTCCAAGCGATGTTGCCAATCGAAAAATGGATTATCTTTCCGAAGCTTTGATGAACAGACACGACACTCACCGATAGGAATAGTTCATGAGTCTGGCAACGCGCCCGTGCCACTAGAAGCAGCGCATCCACAGCTAGGCACCAGCGGCTATCATATTTGGAAAAGATTATTGTAATTCAAAGCCAAATCAAATACATTGCCAGTTGCTTTGCATTATCTTGCCCATGGTTAGTTGAGGCTAGACATTACAGACCACAGCCAGTTCACACGCCCAGCGCCAAAAACCACACCGAATTCTTCAGACATTAAATAATATCTTGCATCAGGGCTTTAAAAAAAAATCCGGCAAAATGGATGGGAACGGCCATGAGCAGTTCACGGCACGACAAGTATTTATGATTCAATTATCCTGGTGCCGTTTCCAAACCACATAGTATCAAGACAGGTTGGTGGCATGAAGGCCCACAAATTCACATTCATTAATCCAGACTCTTGCCGATGCAACTTCCTCACGATTTAACTAGATGAAAGTCATCGGTCATGACATAAGGTGATTTCTTTTCTGAATCCCCCGGAACTGCAAGACAAAACATATAATGTACAAATGCTTCATAAACAAACTTAATACTAAGACACGACAGGCGGTCAAAATGGTGAAAGGCGCAGCAACTAGGAAGCAGCTTGATTGCCAATGCCTCGCATGTCTTCCTGACTCAAGCAACTTCATGACAAGTAAGAATTCACTCCTTCTTTTCATCACAGGAGGCATTGGAATCTCAACCAAAAAAGGCTGAATCACAAAAGTTTCAACCGAGACCATGATTGCTCACCGCAGGTCCAAACAAGAAGCCAGCTGACTGCCAGAAGAACAATAGGTGTCCGTGAGTACAAATCTCAGAATTTCCCTCTAAGAAAGGAGACCAAGGCGTCCTGAAAAAAAAAGGAGCCAAAGGCATCCTGCAAAAGGAGCTCAAGGCATCCTGCAAACGGAAAGTGAAGGAGCCAAAGGCATCCTGCAAACGGAAAGCTGAAGGAGCCAACGGCATCCTGCAAAGACATGCACGACGGAGCGGCTGTTCAACATGCGACTTTCCATGTTTACTATCGAATCAGCCAGCGCAAGTTTGAGATTCACTAATAGATTTTTTTTGCTGCCAAGGCTGTGTATACGCAAAAATTATTTGGTTTTACTCTTGATGAATCAAACAATTTCTTGATGAGCGTTTGCAAACATAATTAGGATTGCCACCCGATGCCATGGTTTTTTTACCTTTTCAAAACCCATGAGCTGCACTAATCGCCGTTTTTAACGTTTTGTTAAAACCCAGTGGCCTAGCTCAAAAACCCATATCCTCCGCACATCCCTTATTGGGTTTTTCTTTGAGCTGGTTTCGTAAACCATTGGTGTTAGAACATGAACATTTCGATATCCACTTCCCACTCTGGTTTCCGTCGCAGTAATTGGCACCTGCGGGGTGTCACGATCACCTGCGTGGTGGTCTCAAGAAGCATCTGCGGGATGTTTCAGTGTCATCTGCGGGATGACACGAGTCGGGGTGGCACCTGCGCGGTGTCATGGCCGCCTGCGTGGTGGTCGCAAGAAGCATCTGCGTGATGTTTCGCTGTCATCTGCGGGATGACAGAAGTCGGGGTGGCACCTGCGCGGTGTCACGGCCGCCTGCGTGGTGGTCTCAAGAAGCATCTGCGTGATGTTTCGCTGTCATCTGCGGGATGACACTGCTACATGTGGCACCTGCTCGGTGTCAGGACTACCTGCGTGGTGGTCGCAAGAAGCATCTGCGCGATGTTTCGTGAATGCTCATGCACACCTGTGCGGTGGAGCTAGCTACCTGCGCGGTGGCTGTGAACAAACATCTGCGTGATGTTTGCTCCTCACCTGCGTGGTGAGGATATGATTCCACCTGCGCGGTGGTTTCCACGACGCACCTGCGCGGTGCGTCATGCACACCCGCGTGGTGTTGCACAGTATAAGATACCTGAGTGCTGTCTTTCCATGCGTGCTTCTGCGTGCGGCCTTCTCTTACAACATGGACGTTTCGTCTCATATATACAGGTATACATTCAGGACCCAAAATATATATATATATATACTGTATAGTCACCTTCATGGGATGACAGATCATGTCTCACATGTATGCAATTCTGAACCTGTCAGGTGCATGGTTGCCGCGGCGTCTCCCTTTTCGCCGATCATGCCTGCGCGGCAAGAATCCTCTCCAGAGGAAGACGTGTCTGCGGATACGTCGCCTGCCAAGGAGGATCCGAGGAAAAAGGAGAGAGAACACCACAAAGAGAAAAAGGCGAAATTGGTTCCGAAACAGAAATCTCGCAGTGAAGCAGACGAGCGCGACCGTGATCGCACACGGGACCGCCGTCGTCGCCGCTCCCATAGGTCAAGGTCCCGCAGGTCTACTGGCAAGCACTCTCCCACGCGCCGGTCGAAGGCCGAGCCGGCGGAAGAACCAGATCGTGGGAGAGAACGTCCTGTGAGTCCACCTGGAAAGCCTGCGGGGCCATCCCAGAGTGAAGCAAAGCAGGATCTACAAGTGCAGGGTGCAAAAGGAAAGGGTAAGAACAAGAAAGGCCGCTCCGAGCGGCAAACCTGCAAGATCTGCAAGACCCAAGTGTCTGGCAACGCGTCCGCTTTGGACCAACACCAATGGCTGAACGCGTATTGTCTGGCCGTGCAAGCCTGGGAGAAATTCACTCCGTATCAGAAAGAACAAGCGGGAGCATGGGAGAAGGCCAGACAAATCGGTGCAGATGTAAAGTCCCGTCGTGACAGAGGGGAGGCATGGCAGGTGTCTGCGGGACAACTGAGCGCTCCTGCGAGGAGTGCAGTGCCGGACCGTGGCATCAGTGTGGCATCGTCCGTTCGCGGGCCTCCGGAAGTCTTGGAGCAGGATTGCCAAGCACAGGGCTCCGAGAAGAAGCGCTCTGAGAAGAAGTCTCGCAAGGACAAGGGACGTCGCAGAGATGTCTCCTCCTCGAGCACCAGCGCAGGCCGACGCAAGAGTCGGCGTCACAATGTGACCATCAACTTTCGTTGAGTCTGAGGCGCGGTGACGACTATGTAGGAATGGGTATACAGCGCGAGGACCGGACATGTCGGACAAAATGGTGCTGTGCTGAATAAAGGGACAGGGTCATGTGGAATTTGCCTCGGTCACAAAAGGGGGAAGACAGACATATTCAGAAATAACCATGTATAAAGAACATGCTTATATACATTAAAAGGAAACCACACTGATGTTATCAATCGAGGGAAATTAACTCTGTCGTGTCGCAGCAGTTTTGGTCTCCATATATGTAGATTTTCCGCTTGGTGTTCGAGATGCCTCCTACCGACTTTTGCATCTCAAAAGAAAGACTGCGGGTCTTTCGTGCATGCTTGAAAGCAACCACCACGACTCCGGAAGTTCTGCCGGAGGGTGGTGACCGGTGGAAGGATGGTTGGAGAATTGTGGTGGAACTGTTGGATCAAGCAGAAGGCATGGCGCACTCGCAAGGGCAGCTGGACTGTGCGAAATGCATTGAAAGATGCAATCGCATGCTTGAGAAAGTCATGTCTGAGGAAATGGCTGTCCTTCCAGACGTCTGTCGTCTCTGGACTCGGAACACAGACTGGGATGGGCACTGGCCGCGCTTTGTGGAAAGGGTAGGTGCATATCACCTGCGGCAGGTGGAAGAAGCGATCCCAGCTTTGGAGCAGCTGCGGCTGCGCTGGCAGGAGGAGACTGAAAACAGTCTGCCAGAAGCCTCGTGGTTGTACCAGGCTGAGTGCCAGCTAGAATCGATGAGGGAGGCGTTGGTGCCTTTGAATCGGTCGTTTTGAAATGTGTCCGAAATGTGTCCGAATGTGTCCGGAAAAAGGAAATGTGTCCGGTTTTAATTATAATTTAAAGGGAAATGTGTCCGGAATTGGAAAAATAAATGTGTCCGAAATGTGTCCGGAATTTTCTGATTTTGGCTTTTTTTTCCTCCGAATGGGCTGCTCCGAAATGGATTATAGACACAATCAATGCTCTCGCTGCTTCTAGATAGGTCAACTGGACTGCAGTTTCCTTCGCGGATATATGGTCTCTCTCACTTAACTCTGCTGTCTGCCAAGCCCTTCGACTGCACTTCTCCGCAGCCATTTGGGTTTTTGGACAGGTTAGTGTGCGGACCTTTGTTTTGCAAGGTGGCTTGCGGCATGGCGGACCGTCGCGTATGTCGCTTGTGCGGCCTGGAGCATGCTTCTGCTGCGGGCAGGATGCATGGTCGCTCCTTCTTTTGCACTGGTTGCTGGTCAGCAAAAGCGATGCTGCAGCGCAACTTAGGCGACAGGACTGAACTTAAAGATTTCAGTCCGGCCGAGACGCATTCCTTCTTTCGCGCCATTGCGAAGGAAAAGGAGAAGCAGGGAGGTCGCATTCAGTGGGTCACCGTGCGGGCCACACTTGTGAGATCTCTGACACTTACATAGTCCCGTTTTTTTATAACTAGTTATGTAGAGTTATGTTAATTATGTAGAGTTATGTTGAGTTAGCTAACTAGTTATAACTCTTGCTAACTCTGTTTTTGTGTTGTTTTGAATGTAAGAAAAAACGCTTTCCACTTCAAGGAAAAAAAGGTTTGCTGGCATCAACAGGCTACCAAAGCTTTAATTTTCAAAGAGAAACATTGAGCCATATATATGGGACAATTGTCCAGGATGAATGTCATGGTATGTTCAAAAAGAAAGTATGTAATTCAATATGAACATTGTGTAACAAAGAATGAAACCAAATAAGTACCAAGAATCATTTGAAATCAAGCTGTTTATTCAAAAAAGAATGAATCCGCATTTTGTAGCAAAAGGAAAGTAAGAGTAAGCAACACATGCAGCACATCACACCAATTGCTGCAAAAGAATGCCTTCCAAAAACAAAATGTTCCAATAGCCTCCCCACTAAAAAACTAAAAAACAGCATAAGACCTGTCACTTGTATGATGCAATGCCACATCAGGCAACATGTCAAATGCTAATTGCCATGTGGGCTAAACCAAGCTGATGATGCAATGCCAAAATTGGCAGCAGCTGGGTAATTTTTTATGGTACATGTTTAAGCCAATAGTTTGATGCAAATGGGATATGGCAGAAGCACTTTGGCTTCTGGATGACCTTTATGGCAAATCACAGCTGTCAAGATGCTGGCAGTGGTGACAAATCCTGGGTCGGTGTCGATGGTACACAATGCATATTGCTGGTTTGGAAACCATTCTTTCACTTGCCAAGGCTGGACCAAAGTGGTCACTACACCATTCAAAAGCAAATGGAGTTGCACCTCTGCAATGCCAAGAGTGCTGCCTGCTTGGTAAATAACAACATCACCTTTGTGGCAAGCAGTGTGGTTCACACTTGCCTGCTGGCTAGTGGGAGCATGGGGCATGGCTTCACCAAGCATGCTGGAGAGAGTCTGCAATGTCTTCTTGGAAGCTTTTATTGGGTTCACTAGGAACACACCATCTTGGAACAGATCTGGTGTGTCCAAGGTGCACATTTCTTGTGCCAGAACCTGCTCCAGCAAGTTTTTTTTCAAAATTTTTCTGGTTGTGCAGCAAAGTTGCCATGGCACCAATGGGCTTGTGCTTTCTCTCATTGGCAAAACCTGGTAATTTTCCAAATCTGGCATGGGCATCTGGCAAGTGCAGTTGCCAATGCCATTTTTTTATCAAAGGTATGGCAGGGAATGCTGTGTGGAAACCTTCTATGGATGTCTCTATGGCTGGCAGCAGAGTATTTCTGCTGATGACACCAGCTTGGTTTCCATCATGAACTTGGTCAATGACTGCTGCCATTGCAAGGAATGCTTGGCTAGCTGGCAAGCAAAGACCCCTTGGCATACACACAGCATGGACAAAATGTCGAACCACTGGAAAGATTGCTAGCAGCTCTGAAGCTTGGCAAGAAAATTTTTGGTTGTTTTTGTGGCTAACCATTTTTTTCTTGGAAAAATATGTGCCCACATGCTGGCTTTTCCACTGCTTTGGGAAAGTCCAGTGCTTAAAGTAACCTTCCAAAAATTGCCATACCTGCAATTCTGTGTCCATGGCACACAAAAAATGAAACACTGCCATGGGGCCTGTGCCTTGCAAGACACCATGCATGTAATCATGAGTAAATTGGGAGCAAGGCTGCAGTAACTTCATGGCTTTCAATTGGCCATCCAACATCAAAGCCAAGGGGCTGTAGGTCCAGCCTGTGGCCTTTTCCCAAAGCTCAAAGTTGGCTTTGGTGCAAATGGCTTTTCTAGCATGCAGTTGAGCATATGATTCTAAAACTTGGCCATTTGTGGTCAATACTAGCTGGTCATACTTTCTAGTATTCTCATGCATGTTCTCTTCTGTGGTGCCACTGGCCCTGATGTTGGCACACAAAAAGCAAAACTTGATGCCACTGTCCCCCTTGCTTCCCCACACCATGGTGTATTGGAGAGTGGTCTTGGGTAGTGGTCCCAATACCTGTCCCATGTGCTGGAGGCATCATTTGGAATTTCCATGTGTTCATCCTGGTCCTGGTACCACTGGACCTCCATGGCCTGGGCACTGGCCAAATCTTCTGTTTCCATCTGGGTGGTTTCCCAACTATGGTCTCCAGTCCTGTCCCTATGGTCTTCTTCTGCCATCATGGCTCTTTCTACTGTGGCAATAAAGGCATCTGCATCTGGCTCTGGTGGCCTGTCAAACATGGCCATGGTTTGCCTCTCCCATCCTTCCACGATATGTTGGTTCTCTATGGTGTCTCCTGTGGTCAAAAATGACCTGGTGACATCATCATGGGAAGAAGCCATGGCTATGGGAGATTGTGGTCGAATTGGTAAATAAAATGATTATGTATATATATTTATATTTAGTAGTAATATTGTTAAACTATATATATAAATTTATATATGCTGAAATATAAATAATTATTTGAGAACAAACATATCTGAATCAACCATGAATTATTCTAGACTAATAAAATTATTTGTAAATGATTTCACAAGACATAATCCCAAAAGAATCAAAATCATAAATTCATAATTCTGAACTTATGTTGAACCTTTTGAATTAAGTTCAGAATTCTGAACTTAACTTTGGAAATTTGGAAGTTAGGTTCAGAATTCTGAACCTAACTCTGGAAATTTTGGAGTTAAGTTCAGAATTCTGAACTTAACTTTGGAAATTTGGAAGTTAGGTTCAGAATTCTGAACCTAACTCTGGAAATTTTGAAGTTAAGTTCAGAATTCTGAACTTAACTGTTTTTCTAATGTTATACTATATATTATTTATCGCTGAGCATGCTCGTACATGCAATGGCAAAAATGATGTTGGTAAGCCAAATTGCAACCATGTATGAACCAATTTCACAATCATGAATATGCAAAACCATAGTGAAATCATAACAAAATATTTACTTGAACTGCCATGAATGACAACCATGAAACAAAATAAATGGATGCAATGCCATGAATGGCAAATCAAACCACACCAAAAAAACAAAAACACACACATTGATGCAATGCCATATATGGCAACATTTAGTTATGCTATATCTGATGCAATGCCATATATGGCAACATGTAGTTATGGTATGTCTGATGTAATGCCATCACTGGCAAGTTCTTGGATGTCATCACTGACAATCAAAAGGAAATAGTTTTAATTACCATATATACACATTATATATATATATACCAATATTGATGCAATGCCATTGATGGCAAAAAAATCAAACACAGATGTTTTTTTTAAACCTCAACGCTCTTGTCTGGAAATCCAACATGGTTTCAATTGAACCAATGGTGGGCCAATGCAGTGGTCTCCTCAATGGGCTTCCCATGGATGAGCTTGGCCAAGTACTCCACCTCAATCATCTGGAGTGCATGGCCTGGAGCTTGATGGACCCTATGCTGGATCTTCTCTCCATTGATATTGGTCACCAGTGTCCATTTGGTCCTCATGGACCCTTCTGGATTGGGAGCAGGCACTGGGTACCTTAGCCCCCATTTCAACTATGGAAACCCTATGGTGGCTTGGATGTTGCATGCAATGAAATCCATGGATTACTTGCTATAACATCCAAGTTACCTTTGGCTGGTGCCATCATTGAAGAAAAGCACCAAGTGGCGTCCCAATGGTCCTTCACTGATGGTATAGTCATCAATGGAAATGTTGACCATGGCTCACCCAATAGTCCAAGTGGGAATGGATTCAATGGAAACTCTTGACAGTCTGGCTGCAATAAAAGCAGGTGGAAACTATTGGCAACAACATTTACTTGAAGATAATGGATTTACAATCAAACCTAACCAAATATATTGAAAAATACAAGCTGGTTGCCCTTCTGGGAGACACCCATGGTTGATGGCCCTCAAGAAAGCTGTGGTGTGGCTTGTGGACAAGCTCAGAAAGCCTGGGCTGGTGCATGTTGGAACAAAACAACAATTTTAATTTCAGAACCAAAACATAAATGCTGCCAAAGAAACGTTCTGTGCCATTCATGGGTGCCATGGCCCCTGTGGATTCCTGGATCAGCTTCTGGTTGGCCTCCAGCTGCTCCTTTCTGGTGGTACTGTCAGTGCTGATCTCTATGGCAATGGATTCTCCCAAGAATTGCTTCTTCATCCCAATGCTCAACATCTTGGTGCCTTTGTCCCGCATGTCCACCCAGGACAACACTTCAATGGCTCTGTTGTGGGGATGGCAAAGGATTTCACTTGGGTTGACTGTGCATGTGTAAGCCAAGCCATATTTTTTGAAACTAGCTACCATTTGGTCCACCTGCTGGTTGACAGGTAGCATGCTTGCAAGCAAGGCATTGATGGCCTTAACACACTGTGGGTCAACCATGTCTTTGGCAAGGGCAGCAGCCATGGCTGACTTATGTGGTGCAAACCTTGGTACCTGGTTTCTGTTGCACTAGTTTTTGTCTTACCTGTCATGCTTGTGGCTTTCCTTGGCTTCAAGAATCCATGAAGCAATGGCACACCAAGCAATGTGCAACCACATGCCAAAATGGATGTGCTTCATTTGGTGCTCAATTCATCATGATGCAATGCCATATTGGCTGCTTCACTTGATGCAATGCCACCAGGCACTGAATGTATAATGCCATGGTGGCAAGCACTTGCAAGTGATCTTTTTCCAACTGAGCCATTGGCTTGCACTTGGCCTTCAAAATTGTCACATATTGGGAGCTGCTTCTTCTGGTTGCTTTTGCTCCTGCTGAACCTTTCTCTGGTAAGGTTTCCTGGCTTTCAGTTGGTCTGCACCTTCCTGCAAAAGTTCAAAAATGGGTTCCAACTGGCTTGCTTCCAGTGGCACAACCACATCACTTTTGGTTGGCCTTTGGCCTTGCATCAAGCAAGAGATGGCCACTCCAGCCAGGGGAACTGACACCGCTTCTGGATCCTCCCTCTTTCTCTTCTTGGCTGATGGCTTTGGTTTATCTTCATTGGCAGCATCCCACACTTGGTCCTCTGTTTCTTCTTTGGCCCATACTTGGTTCCTCTTGGCAATGAAGTCTTGGAACTTTGGATGGTTGGAAAAGGAAGCATTCTTGCCCACTTTGCCATACACCATTTGGTTAATGGGTTGGGAAGTGGGTCTGAGCTTCAGCCACTGGCGACCACCATGTTCTTGCAGCAAGGTGGCAGGCACTGGAATAGCTTTGCCATCATTGCAACTGATGGTGCAAACCCTTTGGATGTCTACCTTCATGTCGTTTGTATCTGGTCCAATGGCTACATGTTGTTGCAATTTGAACCATGGTGGATGTATTCCCATTCAGGCACCTGATGGAACCTTACCAAACAAGCAAAACCACATTGATGCAATGCCACCAAGGCAATGAATGTACATAAAAATCACATTTTTTCATGAAATGCAAAGCATTTACTATATGTTTTAAAATAAGAATATACAAAGAGAAAAAAATTGCTAACTCTAGCTAACTCTGGCTAAACATTAAGTTAATTAGCAAGAGTTATGTTAGTTAGTTAAAAGTTAGTTAAAATTATTAATTAAGATAAAAATCTTAACTACTTAGCATACTTTATAACTAGTTAAGTTATGTTATAGTGAGTTATAACACCTTATAAAGACTTATAACTGTTTTATAAGGTGTTATGTAACTAGCTAATTCTGCTAACTAGTTATAAAAAACGGGACTATGTAAGTTACATGACGCAAATATTGGTACGCTGGCTGCTTGTGACCAATCGTTTCGATTTGCCAAATGAGTGGACCGAACCATGACAGAACCATCTGCGAAGTGCGGAAAAGAAGTCATTTATGATCTTTCTTTCCATTAGTATCGTCGCTTTTTTATTGTTCTTTCTTTTTTGTACATTTCTCCTCTTTGCAGATACCGTAGATGCGGCCCCAGAGGATTTGCGCGCTGTGGGCGCTGCACCGAAAGTGCACTGCAACTGTGCGAGGCTTGTGAACTGCCATTGTGTCGCAATTGCCTGGAACACATGTCTAAACAGAACACCTGTGCAGTGCCAGAGGCCCTTGCAAACGACAATTGGTTTGGATATCCAACAGAGTTGCTGTACACCCACAAAGTGCGGTGGATAGAAGCAGCGGCTGCCTCGCCTGTCTGGACTTCCGTTATCAATTACTACCTCGAGGCCGACCGAGGCAACTTGATCGAAGAACACTTACATCGGCCCGAACACAGGACAGCAATCCGAGGCAATGTGTCTTCCTTTAGCATTCCATGGGAAGAGGTACTTGCTGCACTGGCCCCCGAGACTCGGCAGAACGCCTCTTGGGAAAAGTTGCCTCACCCGCCACATGTCCTCCAAGCTATTGTAAAAGTTAATGTGAAGGGTATGTTATACAATGAGGCCATCGAGTGGGTAGCAGGGGCACGCATCCGACCATGGGTCGTCAGTGCACTCTTGCATCACCTCATCGACATGCAACATCCAATGTGTACCTCGCATTTGTCGGCAGAGGAGGCAAAAACAGCAGTGACGCAGCGTGTGACTTTGATCTATGGGGTGGAAGAAACAAGGCCCATAGTCGACTGGCAGCAACCTCCTTCACCTACTGTGCCATCAAAAGGCGCATACCCCTGCACGCGACGCCAGAGCAGCGCTCAGGCAGCAGCGAATGTGAATTCAGAACCAACCATTTCAAATAACGAGACTGACTCTCCAACGATGAGCGGCCAGAGCTCGTCTCAGCCAGCGTCTGAGGTGCAACATTTCAAGCCTTCTCGTGTGAAAACTGCATCCCCAAAGATCGTGTCCCAGCTGCAATCCGAAGAGACAGCCTATGTGTACAGCAAAACGTTTCCACAGCATACAAGCCACAGCGATGACAACGCAACCATGCACGATATGCCAACCCACCGAACGCGCCAGATGGTAGCAGAGCGAAAAGATCAAGGCAGCCCTCAGGTGACAGCCGAAGTCATAGCAGACTCGGCCTCGTCACAGGAGCAACAAGTTACAGTGTCAACACCTAGCCACAGCAAGTTACCATTAGTGCATGCAAAGCATGAGCGGGATGCCTCGCCGGACGACAACCCATCGCGGCAGGTGAGAAGCCAGAGCAGCGCTCAGGCAACCACAGCAGACAAGAGCGATGAAAAGGCCACAGCAGCTCGTCCGAGCCATGCTAGGAATTTCTTTGGTGCCAGTGGAGACGTAAGCCAGCCGCTGCCGCAGAAGCATGCAACGCCCGAGTCAGTCCCAGACACAGCTTTGGATGGCGAGTCCTTCGTAGGCAGTGTGAGACCCAATGTATTGTCACAAGATTATACGGGTGCAGAGTGGAAAGACCCCGACGTCGACATGTTGTTGCAATTAGGCAATGCGACTGACACACTCACCATTCAAACCGGGCACAACTTCTGGGACCAGTGGCAAAATGATTTTCTTCCATGGGC